TTAATATTTATTTAAAAAAATTAAATATATCTAAATATTAATTTAAAAATGTTGAAGTTAATATTTTTTATCTATAAGTAACTTTTGCAATTATAATTTTTTTATTACTTTTAAAAAAATTGAAGTGATTTTTTTTACTTATAAGTAACTTTTTACATTCTAGATAGTGTAATCTTTTTATTAATATTTAATTTTAAAAACAAAATATATCTAAATATTTATACTTAAAAAATTTTAAGTTCACTTTTTTTAATATAAGTAGCTTTTGCAATTATAAGAGAATGAGTGATTTATATTTTTTTTTACCTATAAGTAGCTTTTACAATTATAAATTTTTTTTGTAAATAACTTGAAGTAAATTTTTTACTTATAAGTAATTTTTTATCTTTTAAATAGTGTAATCTCTTCTTTTACTCTTAAATAACTTAACCGGTTTGAGAACTAGTTTGACAACAGGAAAAATTATATTCAAAAATACTGTAGAAATTTTTTCACATGCCATTTGAGTGCAATGTCACGTCCACTGCAATATTTCTACCTTACTTTGAATCTGACACATCATGTTCTTTCTCTAAATTCTTAAGTTATTAACTATCAACTATATCCTATTTATTTAAATTTTTAAAATTATATTAATAAAAAAAATTATTGTAAATAAAATGTAAAAAAAAAAAAATATTCACTCCGTGCATGGAGAAAAAAATTTACGTCATACCACATAACTTTTCTTGAGCAAAATGATATGTTGAGAAAATTGTTGCGAAAAAATAATAAATAGTAATAAAATAATTGATTTTTTTAAGAAAAATGACTTATATGCATTTTTTTAACACATACGTTTAATGTCCGTTTAACTATTTTCGATATTCATTTGGATCATTCGATGTGTTTATGATATAGTTTTCGAAATGAGTTTCGAGATAATATAAAATATTTATCGATTCGACTATCGTACAATCGTCGATGAATTTTTAAAGTTAGCTAGTTATCAAAAATTTCGAAATATAGTTTGAAAATGCTTATTTTGACATCCTGTAACATTTGCTACGATTAGCCGCTTCACGCACCGTTAACGACATGCAATACTATGCCGCGAGTACTTAAGAATAATATTAAGAATGTAATATTTCGATTTCGTTTGATATTCCGTAATGAGCCTGAAAATAAACACAAAAATGTAAATAAGAAAAATTTAAAAAAAAAAAAGAAAAAAACTAATGTTAGCAAACATCCGTGCACGGAGTATTTTTTTAAAATTTTTTATTAATATTTATTTTTAAAAAATTAAATATATCTAAATATTCACTTAAAAATGTTAAAGTTAATATTTTTTACCTGTAAGTAACTTTTACAATTATAATTTTTTTATTACTTTTAAATAACTTTAGGTTATTGTTTTTACTTATAAGTAATTTTTTACATTCTAGATAGTGTAATCTTTTTATTAATATTTAATTTAAAAAACTAAATATATTTAAATATTTATACTTAAAAAATTTTAAATTAATATTTTTTTTATATAAGTAGCTTTTGCAATTATCAGAGAATGATGAATTAATATTTTTTTAATCTATAATTAACTTTTACAATTATAAGTTTTTTTTATTTTAAATAACTTGAAGTGATTTTTTTTATTAATAAGTAACTTTTTACATTTTAGATAGTGTGTCTTTTTATTAATATTTAATTTAAAAAACTAAATATATCTAAATATTTTTGTTACGCTGACTTTCACATTGAACTGGTTTCAAACTGGTTTGATCCTTTGAATCTGATACACAATAGTGTTTTCCATTTTCTCTTTAGCGTGACAAAAATATTTAGATATATTTAGTTTCTTAAATTATATTATATTAATAAAAAGATTACGCTATCTAAAATGTGAAAAATTACTTATAAGTAAAAAAATCACTTGAAGTTATTTAAAATAAAAAAAACTTATAATTGTAAAAGTTAATTATAGATTAAAAAATATTAATTCATCATTCTCTTATAATTGTAAAAGCTATTTATATGTAAAAAAATGTTAACTTACATTTTTTACGTATAAATAATTTCTTAAAGTTATTTACAAGTAAAAACAACTTATAATTGTAAAAGCTACGTATAAGTGAAAAATATTAACTTCAAGTTTTAAATATTGTTTCGCGCGTGTTAATTCGCTAACAATTAAAGAGGATCAGACGATTGTGTAAGGGACGAAACCTCTTGAGACAAAGTCCCAAAAAGGGGTGTTCTTTTTATTGGCGATGAACTTTACAATTGGAAACGGAAAACAACGTGCCTCCAAGGGGCGCAAGCACACGAGTTACAGAAAATGAAATGTTTAAGTCTAAAAGCTAAAGGAATGAAAATTACATATTCTCTGTTCGAGAGTTTTGGATTCGATCCTTTGCTTCTAAGTTCTTTCTCCCTTTTATATTTCATAGGCGATCCCTTTGTGATTAACTGCTCTAAAAAACTGCTTGATCGCCCTATAACTATCCACTTTCTTTGTAGTGGCCATTTGTCATGAAATTGTCCTTTTAACTGCTGCCATTATCTTGTATCGTTCAACCGCTTTCGATTGAACCCCTTGAGTCGTGGAACGTGATAAAAGTTACTTTAGCAACTGCCTCAATAACTGCATCATAATGCGTTGTGTTTGTTGATACCTTGGGTGACTTGAAGATTTGGGCGAGACTCTGGACGACCGTATGTCACTCTATTCGTTCAGACTCTGAGCGACTTGCAAACTTGGACGATGTCGTTACCGCACTATTGGACCCCTTATTTGGGCATTCACCTTGATTCGTTCAATTGGATTTCGTTCTTTGGGCTATCTGATTTGGAGATCTTCCAATTGGGCTTTACTCTCTGGGCTGTTAGATTTGGGCTGAATTTTTATGTGTCAACAATTACCCCCCAATATGGCAGAATTAATAATAATTATTGAATTTTGCCATATTCACTTCACGTCTTCAGCAACGTTCACGATTCCCAAAGAATTTCAATCATTGTTTCCCTCTATAATTTGAAAAGGTGCGTCACTTCGCAAACCCTTATAAACTCCAAACACGCCATTTTACTACTATGAAATCACGTTTCATATTTCTTACGCATCCTTCGCGATTCACTGTTCATCTTTTACTTCCTTGTTACGTAACTCTGAAAAGCTTCGTTCCTTCTTCAATGACTGCTTTACAATCCCAAGCTAGCGATTCTTTTAGTTTTGATGACTTTCAGAAACTTCTGAGTCGTTCATACGTAACCCCAAGTTTTCTTGCGCCCGCCGATGTTGGACGTAATGAGTTTTACTTGGGTCCTTTCTTCAACAATGCTGAAGCAATCGAACAGGCGGCGGTGGGTCAGCTGTTTCCTTGCACTCATGGCCCTCCTTTTCTGAATTCTTTGCCGCTGGGGCCACTTTGTGAAAAAGGTATTCGCACTTGGCCCAAATCTGACGTAGCTTTTCGTAGGTGGCATGCTCGTCTTGTGGGTCATGGTCCTACTAAGGCACTTTTTGATAGCGCTAGGATTTCTGATTTGTTGGAAATCTCTATTCGCCCCCCTACTTTTGATTCAGCGCTCTTTCCGATTGCTTTGAGCTTTTGGTCCTCTGAGTATAACACCTTTATTTTTCCTCTTGGCCCCATGTCTATTACGTTAAGGGATGTTGGGGCCCTGGTAAATTT